TATATATATATATATATATATACACATATTATACTCAAAATATCTTTTTTCTCTGTCACAAATATTGAAATCTATATTTCAGAATTTTTTAATATTCCGCACTACGGCCAAATACATCATGTATGTCTCATGACAAAAAATATTCAGCGTAATATTCAGATCTCCACTATTTTTAATTCACCACAATGAAAACACTGTAAAAGCTAAAAACGCTCGTATAATTGTTATTTTATTTATAGCGATAGTGCGCGAAAAATATTTATTAAACACCATGAAAATTTCCGTTACAATCTCCGCGTGATGTTATTTATTAAAAAATAAATCGGAAGAGTAAGTGTGTGTATGGATAAAAAATATCGATAAACATTTTCTTGATTGCGCTATGTGATAAGTTTAGGTTTAGGACAATAGCTATACCACGATAACCAGTTCAAATTGTTATTTGATTCATTGACACCATTCATTTGCTATTGTACTTTTTATCACTTCCACACAGAAGGAGAAAGTATCACATTTTTTACGGAAGTGATGCTTATATCAAAGATATATTTTTATCAATAAAAAGTATTTAAAAATAACTGATAAAATATAATCATAAACGCCAATTTTCGTTGACAAATTGGTAATTATTCATAACAAGATGTAATACCTACAATAAATTTGCATTCATCTTTTTTCATATTATTTTATCTCTCTCTTTTTTTCAGATAACTATAATTCTAACCCTTTTATCTCTCTAAATAAATAAATTAATTAATATATAAAAATATAAATACGGATTTGTTTATTTTGTGTATTCCAAATATATATTGACACTAAAAAATGCAGATTATTTTTTAATACAAATTTTTCACAGAATGTTACATGCGCATGTATTAAGTACGCAAATATTTTTGTTATTATATGTATCAAAATATATTTCAATAGTAACTTTAAATTACGTGTAGATACCTTTTATTTTCAATTAAACAATAAAATTTATATGTTTAAAACAATTATTGACGTAGATATTTCTAAAAATGCAATATAATTGTTTGCAAAAATAACTAAAATCTAAAAGTGAAAGCTACTAATGGTATCTGTATATACAAAACTTTATCGGCATGTACAGTGGCGCGAACTACTAACATTAACTATAAGAAATTTAGTTTTTGACTTATTTCTACAATCTGGAAGACCAAGAGAATGCCTTTGTCTCGACATCTTCTACGACATAGAAATAAAATAGAATTTCGCTACGTCGACGATGCGTTCTCGAGTTCGCTCGAGATCACCCTGCCGCGCCAAGATGTTCAACGTGCCCATTTTCGAGCCACAGACAACGGGCGAGAGCGAGGGTTGTCGTAAAACTCATCATCTACCCCATCGACCAGCCCGGCCTCTTATCCTACCATTCTTTCCTATTCTCAACACTCTCCATGGATAAGACGAGCGCGCAGTTTAAAGATGAAACTCGAGTAAAGTGAATCGACTGTGCGCCAAGCTGAAAAGCTGCAGTGCCAACAAGAGCAGCAGTAGCAGCAGCAACAGCATCGTCGTCGCCGTGCGCGTGATATAGTTGCCTGTAATTTTCTGCTGTTTACTAGATGTGCACGGAGGCAATGAATATAGACGGTCGTACCTATTCGTGAGACTTGGAGAGTAATAAAGTACTTGACCGCAGTAAAGAATCATTTTTCTTTCTACCTGTTTACACTTCGTTATTTCGCGACTCCTCACGCACAACGACGACGACGAGGACTAAGTGCGACTGAAAAATAATGCCTGCGTCTACGCGAAATTACTTGCAATGTTGACCATTGCGTTTTTGCAATATGTATGCATTTGCAATGCGTGCATGTAAAATTTATACAATTAAAATACGAATCTATTGCGGTGACAGTCGACTATTATGTACTCAAGAGACGAAAACTACATATCAACTCAACGCGCAACTATATTACAATAA